TGGTGGAGATGGGATGCTGTGTGAGAAAAGTGTAGGGAAGGAAAAATATCTTTTCTATCTACCCTCTGACTTCTAGGGTGGTGCTCCTGTAACAAAAGACAGACTAACAAGAGAAAAACAGACACATTTATTTTATACAAGTTTTGTGTGACCTGGGTACCTTCATAAGGTAATAAAGACCCCCCCCAAAGTAGTCAAACTCAAGAGTTTGGGGCTGGGTTTGATGAAGAGTGGAGTGGTTTAGAGACATGTGACGCTCCTTTCCTCTGAGTATAGGAGCAGCACCTCTCACAGTGAAAAGGAGGAGAGGCTGTGGACTGTGGCAGAGGTTGATGACTACAATAGCCATCTAGCTAAATTGTGACCTTTTTTTTACTTGACTAGGACTTAATGTAAGATTCAGAAAAGTACTTTCAAATGCACCAAAAATATCACAAAGTAGTACAATAAAACAAAAATACAGGCTTCAGAAGAACTTGTCTAACTATTAAGTAAATACGGAAATTTTGCATTCTTTTTTTCTATCATGGGTTATCTATGATATTATAGGTAATAGTGAGCACAACCAAATTATATTATTATAGCACAACTATGATATATTACGATGGAGCAAAAAAGTTTTTAAGACAGGTTAGAATGACATCTGAGACAACAAATATAATTTTCTATATAGAAATAGATCTTGAGGTTTAAATTTACAGATAGGCTATTGCATAAAATATAAAGGCAATAACTTGAACTGAAAATATTTTAAGGGAGAACCAATAGACTAGTACAAGAGAAAAGAAAGAATTTGTTGTGAAAACATTTTCAGTGCTTTGAAATTTTTTATTTTTCTAGAAAAGAAAAAGGAATGAAAAAGAAATATGGTCAAAAACCATAGGCTATCTTTGTGATTCTGTCATTGATTTGTTTCATGGTTCAGTATACATGTCTTAATCTTTAATGTTCCTGAGTCTAATAAGAGTATTTGCTGAGTGAGGGGACTCAAACCTCTAATCTTAGCCATTCGTGGGGCTGAGGCAAGAGGCCTGCCTGAGCCCAGAAACTCAATGCTGCCATCCTGGCTGGCAGTAACAGAGTGAGACCGTCTCTAAATAGGTAGATAATACATAGAGTTGTATCATAGTTACCTTTATGAGCCTCCTCTAGATATCAAAAACAATATCTATGTATAAAAAAACAATAAAAACCTTATGGAATATTTTTTGCTTTGTTTTCTGGAGAGATCTCAATGCCCAAAGCTGGACAACCAATTCCTTCTTTGTAAAATGAAATTAATTACAACTAAATAGGAATTTTGTGAGAAATAGATGAATTTTATTTATTGTTTAAAATAATTTACATAGTAAAGCTCCCATTGATTTACTTCAAAATAGAGTTTTTTTTTTTCAAACTTTGGATGGTTACTAAAGTAATTACATTCAGCTTCAGAGGACTGTATGAAATGGGAAGTAAAAGTTCTGGTGTTTACGTATCATTTCTGTGTAGATAATCAGTAAAAAGCAAAATTATGGTGTCCTTGGCCTAAACCTTACAAATTTTTAGTAGCCTGATATTTTTTTCTTCCAGCTAATATATTCTATATGTATAAGCATAGAATTTCACTTAATCATGTTTACTTTAGTATTGTGAGAATCTTGAAAATAAAATGTGAGATCATTACATAATCTATAATTTGCTTTGTTCACCTAGTACCACTTAAAATACATCTTTTGATTTCAATCCAAGCAGATCCTTCCTGTGATTTTAATAGCTGCATATTATTCCATAATATCATATAGCATCAAGATGATGCATCTAATAAAGGGGACACTTGGGGTGCGGAGCAAAGAAAGGGATGGGGCAATACACCTATAGCTACAGCATAACAATGGAGGCCTATAGAGAGTCATCAGATAACTAGAAGGAAACCAGGTTCCAAAGAAGTCTGAATTTCATCAATTATTTAATGCTTTGTGGTCTAATAAATAAAAAATAATTCCCTTGCATTAATTGAAATTTCTTTGAGTATTATGATAAGCATCTATAGGCTTTTGCGTTCTTTTCTTTTTAAATTGCTCATTCATCTCAGTCATTTTTCTTTCATTTTTTTCTTACTGATTTGTAATAGTGCTTTTCATATTAATATGATCCCTATTCTTTTATAGAAATTATGTATAGTGTGTTGCTTTTATTTTAAATAATGGTTTGAGTTTTGCTATAGTGAAGATTTAACAGTTGCAATGAGAGGCCTTAAAACACAGTTTTTTAGGAATGAAAATCAGACTTGGCCATGCTTGTGTAATTGAGAAAACCCTGAGACTAACATCTTATTTTTAGATTCTGTATTTTGAAATTATCTGATTGAAGCTTCTAGATTAAAGAAAAAAGTATTTCAGAGGTCACTTTGAGAGTCTTTTCTTGTGGGAACTGCAGCTGTTAACTGGGAAGGACACTTTTTGTCTTCCATCAGTCACTTCTTAGCACCCTTCAAAAGTGTACAAAAATCTTTCTTCAACTAATTTCTCTGTGAATGTGTACCCCAGGGTATGATTCTGCATCTGATACAACCCTTTTTAATTATAAACCATGTTTTTTAAAATTACAACTCAAATGTAAAAAATAAAATAGAAAAACAGCCTGCTAGCATCTTTATCTTTTCACCCTGTAGTTTCCTTCTCAGGACCTATCCCAATTTCTATATATACATGATATATGTGTGTATGTGTGTATATATACGATGTACATATGTATGTGTCTGTGCATGCACTTGCTGCTTTTCATGGCCAATTTTGCCAGATTGTAGACTTCACAGGGGCAGAGGCGATGTGTTTTTTATTTAGGAGTATATTATCAGTCCTTAAAACAGTGCCTGGCACATGCTAGGCCTTTGATTAGTAGCTACTTATTAAAGAAATGTATGAACAGATGGTGTTAAAAGCCATTTGTATTATATTGCCACTTAATGTATTACTTGTAAATTTACACATTTTTTACTAAAATCAATAAAACTTTACAAATATGATTGAAGCCTTATCTCAGCAGTTCTCAACCTGTGGGTCGCGACCCACAGGAACTGTATTAAAGGGCTACGGCATTAGGAAGGTTGAGAACCACTGCCTTATTTTTACATATACCTCCTCAAATCCAATTTTTTGTTGAGGATATTTGCATCTATCTTTATAAGAGATATTATTTTGTAGTCTTCTTTTTTTTATTGAATCATAACTATATATATTAATTCATTTATGGGGTACAATGTGCTGATTTTATAAACAATTTGGGACACTTACATCAAACTGGTTAACATAGCCTTCACCTCACTTACTTGATTATTGTGTTAAGACATTTATACTCTTAATAGATTTGACATGTACCCTTGTAATATATACCATAGATGAGGTGCCACTGATTACTATCCCTCCTCTCAACTTTCCCACTCCCTTCTCCCTCCTGTTCTCTCCTTCATCCTAGACTATAGTGTGTTTTATCTTTCATATGAAATTGTGGGTGATTATATATTGGTTTCATAATAGTACAGAGTACAAGAAAAAGTATCCAATGTACTCTTCTTTATATATACGATCTTTTTTTAAAAAAATCAGGAAACTGTGAATTGACTTAATATATTCTTTATTCTTGATTCAAAGAAATTGAAATAATGAATCAATTTCCTCCTTTTTGAGCTCAAGGTGCTCTCATTATGTTGTGTCACTTATGTTGCTGCTTTGTGTCAATTATATAAAAATTAATATGCTACAAATCATGTGATGGTAGCGCCTATGCACAAATGAAATCTTCCGAGGTAATGTGTTTGCCTAAAATTTCTTTTTATTAATAAAGGAGAAATTCATGCTGAAAACTAATTTCCACATATTCAAATTATATTTTTTATTAGAAGAAAGAATTCTGAGTTTAAATGATAAAGGCAAAGCTTGTACAATTTTTTTTTAATATCAATCGACCTTATTAGACAAATTGATAGATGGCAATTGGTAAGGGATATTGATGAAACACACCCTCCTTTTGATGAGATGTCGGATTGACTAGAGTAGTTCAATGGGTATCAACAGTATTTGTCTTGATTGAGGTCATATTGAGGTTATATTTACTTAGATAAATCCCATCCATCCCATACAGAATTATGTTACATTTTTTTTTGATTGAGAACCCACAGTGTGGATGCATATGAGAGCTATTATTGTTCCTTGATGTACACACACACACACACACACACACACACACGGTATATATATGTATACATTCACTTTGTATATAGAGAGAAGATACTTTCAGTCTTACATTCTGGCATGGAGTGTTTATAATTTAATGAAAAGACTTATTTATCATATTCACTGAGCTTATATTCCTAGCAGCCTTACTGTGTAATTGAAAATACATAAAAAGAGAGGACGTGTTCAGAAGCAGTAGGAGTCTTGTTTTTAGGCTAAGCGTCCTTGGTCTAAAACACAGAGCTGCCTAGGGAGCATTCTGGAGTGCTGATAAGTGGATCCACCACAAGCCGTTTTACTAGAGAGAGTGAGGAGTCATTCTTGTAAGAATTCACTTAGAAGCAAATAGAGAATAGAAACTTCGCTTCACAAAAAACAGCTGAAGGATGCCTGTGAGGTGTGATTCTTTTTGTTGTTACATTGTATCCGCTGTTCAGGTTGATCTGTGCCATTCTCAAAATTGGGAAAGTGGAATGTTTGATAAAACCGAAGAGTCTTCTCACAGAGGAACACATATCCCAAGACATCTATGAAGGGCCCTTGGGCTGGTTACTTTGGCACTGATACAAGGACGCATATTTCCCACCACCCATAACTGATCGAACCCCACACCCTGGTGGTGGAGCTTTATTCCCAACCTACAAAAACTCATAAAAAAGTTTCACAAATAGAAGTATTTGTGAACTATCTAATCACTACTGTGGCTTAGGTATAAAATGAGGTACTTTGTTTTGTTTTTTAGATACATCATTCTTTTTATACAAAATATAATGTGTTTGGTTTTAGGTTTCCTCAAGAACTGAACATGGGAAAAATCAGTGCTGAAATCATGTGGACTCTTTTTGCTCTGGATATGAAATATGCATTAGAAGGTAATTACAAATATTTATACTTCTTAGAATATATATTTTAGTCAAATTGTGATTTTGTGTTCTTGGCTTTACATGTAAATAATTGATACATTAGAACGTTGATTCTTGTGATTAATTTAGATCTGAAACTTATCACTTCTCGGCCCATTGGCTAAAATCAAGTGTAGTCCTAAAACTTATTTCCACCTATCTCAAAGTACTTAAAAGCCCTAAAGCCCTGAAGTATATACATTTTTAATCAGATGTCTAAGCTACAGGATCATAATGAGTATTTCACTTACAGAACAGAGGCAGGAACGCTTTACGGCAGTTCATTTACTAGAGGAAACCATCAAAGGGGTGAGTGAGTAAGATCAGTTCAGATATTTGTCTACATGAACTTCGAAATCGTATCTATGTGTAGGCAGGTTAAAATCTGACCAAGGATTATACAGAGACCATGGAAAGGCTCTTCACCAGAAACTCTGGTCACAGTAAGTCCACATCTTAACAAAGGAAAGCAAGAGAAAACAGTGCTCAAACAACTCCATAGTTTTTATGTCCCCACAGTATGTTTAGAGTTAGAGATAGATCCATAAACCAGGTTTGGATCTTCCAGCCACTCAGAGCCTGGTACAGAAATCTCTTTGCACTTAATAAATATCCTGAGTGGACATAAAGTTCATGTGCAAGTTAAAATAGTTTAACATAGTGAATTGCACACGAACTTTACAGACACGCTGTAGGTTGAGCCCATAGATACTAGATGACCACCAGTGCACGCAGTAGGGGGGGATGTAATAGTGAACGAGAGAGCCACAGGCCCTGCCCTCAACACAGTTACTGGGAGGAGATGGAGAGGGTAAGACTAACGATGATGGGGTGTCTGGGGGAATCACCTAAATCAGACTTGAGGCTAGGGGACAAGGCGAGCTTTCAAGAGGAGGTTTCCTTAAGGAAATGTGATCTTGACAAAGACCTGAAGGAGAAGTCAGAGCAAGATGGTCTTTGGGTAGAAGACAGAGCCTTAACAATGAAGGTGAGTATAAGGTGCGTGTGAGAATAGAAAACCCTGCGGGCCTGATGAGCAGGAGGTAACACAAAGTGACTGTGAGTGTGGAGCAGTTGGCAGGGACCAGCAAACAGGGCCTTGTGGGCCACGGTGCGGAGCAGTTGGCGGGGACCAGCACACAGGGCCTTGTGGGCCAGGGTACGGGGTTTGACTCTCTGCTAGAAAGATGAAAGGCCATAAAGAGTTTTCAGCAGGGGCTTGTCTTGTTCAGATTTGCAACTTAGAGAAGGTGTCTTGACCGCAGGGTGGAAGATTTGTTAGGTTTAACTGGTTTTGGCAGTGCATGCTCATCCTGACATTGTTTAGTAGCTTTGCCATAATGTGAGTTCTCTGGATGGAGATGCCCAGAGAATATTCAGTTTTCCTTACTTGAAGAAAAAGATACAATAGATTATAAAAACTAATTTTCTGGTAAAGTCAAGAGCTCTCACCAACAGATAGAGAGGTTTACTAATCTTTAAATTACACTAGAACTGCTCAGAGGTACAAACTCCTTATTCTGCGATGAAGTGTTTCTTCTCTGCTGTGTTAATGGCCAGTCCTCCCCCTCCACCTCCATCTTCGCCCCTTACCAACCATATCCTTTTACACTACTTTGCTTTGACTATTTCTTTGGGATCCAAGAATTATCTTAAATCAGACAGGAACCACTAGTCTACTAGATAAGAAGTTTTTTCAGGTAGCATTTACTTCCCTAGACCAATCTGTCACCTTCACTCACCCCTTTTGAATGTCTATTAGGCATCTCACACTTCATAGTCAATATGGAAATTAATTTCCTCTGTCAAAACCTGCTTCTTCCCCACTGTTTCCTATTGCAATTATTGTCACCACCATTCATCCAGTAACTCACGGCATGTAGGGGTTACTGTCAATTCCTTTCCTGTCCTTGCCACAATCAAAGTTCACTCCTACATTAGAGTTTATTTGCCAGGTGGTCTATTCCTGGACTTCTCACCAATCTTCACAAGTAGCCTCCTCAAAGAAGATCTCCTAGGGCGGTGCCCGTAGCTCAGTGGGCAGGGCACCAGCCACATACACCAAGGGTGGTGGGTTCGAATCCAGCCTGGGCCTGCTAAACAACAATGACAACTATAACCAAAAAATAGCCAGACCTTGTGGTGGGCACCTGTAGTCCCAGCTACTTGGAAGGCTGAGACAAGAGAATCACTTAAGCCCAAGAGTTTGAGGTTGCTGTGAGCTGTGACTCTAGTGAGGACAACATAGTGAGACTCTGTCTCAAAGAAAAAAAAAAGTCTGAATTCTATATAAAATCAGTACACTGTACCCCATAAATGCATTAATGTATGCATGATCTATGTGTTTATGATTTAATAAAAAAAATAAAAACCAAGCTTCCTATAGGATGAATAAAAGAAAAAGGGAGGCCATGAAAATAGTGGTAGTTTCTGTGCTTGTTTGAAATTAAATTCATTTAATGTTCTAATTGAAAAAAAAAGAGAGAGAGAGAATTTCCCTGACCATAGCTTCAATAGTTGCTCACAGGAATAACTTTATTTTAATCCTCTGAATAGCAACTAATTATTATCTTTAATTCACTTGTTCATTGATACTTGTTCATCTGATTATTTCTTATGTCTCTTCCTTACCACAATATAAATTTTTTCCAACAATTTGTACCAACATATCTTTATCGCCTAGAATGATGCCTAGAAATAAAGTGACTCCAATAATTACTTCTCAGATAAAGACTTTACTGGGTAATTTCACCTCCATGGAAAAGTAGAAATGGCAGTGGAGGAGACGTCCAGTTGTGATCTTATTTTGCTGTGTGGTCTTGGAAACCTTCAAGACGTGCAACACCTTTGTGTGTCCTTACGTGTGTTTGAGTAGACAAAATGCAATGCATTGTGAAACACTTATTGCTTTTTTTGTGGCATAATGCTGTAGAACTCAAATATTATTTAAGCTGGGTAAGTAATTTTATCATTTATGTTTTATTAGTCATAAAGTAAATTTAGCTGGGGATTTAGGCAAAATTTTACATAGCAATATATTTTTTCTTTTTTTAATTTCAAATTAATATGAGGGTAAAATTTTTGGATTACATGGTTCTTACTTCAAGGTAATGTTCTGGTTATAAAGAGCCCCTCTCCCGGGGGGTGTGCCGAACACTCTCTCATTGTGCACATTAGGTAAGATCCCACTGAATGAGCTCCCTCCTTCTGCCGGTCACCCTCCCTCCTCCCTCCTCATCTCCTCCTCTTCCTCCCTCCCTTACCAGACTGTATTTGCATTCTATCATTCCTATGAGTGTATAATTGTTTATATATTGGTTTCATATTAGTATGGAGTACACTGGATATTTATTTTTCCATTCTTGAGATACTTTATTAAGAAGAATGTTCTCCAACTCCATCTAAGTAAACATAAGAAATGTAAAGGCTCCATCTTTTTTATGGCTGAATAGTATTCCATGGTGTACATATACCACAAGCTGTCAATCTATTCATGGGTTGATGGGCATTTGGGTTGCTTCCATGACTTGGCAATTTTATATTGGGTTACAATGAACATTCTGGTACAAATGTTTTCATGGCAAAATTATTTTTGTTCTTCTAGGTAGATACCTAGTAATGGAATTATGGGATCAAATGGTGTGTCAATGGTTTTAGTTCTTTGAGGATTTTCTATACTTCTTTACATAAGATTATGTAAGTTTGCAGTCCTACCAGCAATGTAGAAGTGTTTGGGGACTGCAGTTTGGGACTTTGTGATGTGGCCTATTCTCACTGGATTTAGGTGATATCTCAGGGTGTTTTTGATTTGCATGTCTCTGATGATTAGAGACAACGAGCATTTTTTTCATGTGTTTGTTGGCCATTCATTTGTCATCTTTGGAGAAGTTTCTGTTCAAGATTCTTGCCCACTTATAAAGGGGGCCATTTGCCCTTTTCTTGTTGTTTAATTTGAGTTCTCTGTGGATTCTAGTTACCAAGCCCTTGTCAGACTCAACCTGCAAACATCTTCTTCCATTCTGAAGTCTGTCTGTTTGCTTTGTTTGTGGTTCTCTTAGCTGATTCAGAAGCTTTTTAACTTGATCAAATCCTAGTTATTTATTTCTAGTGTTGCTGCAATTGTTGGGGGGGATCTTCCTCATAATGTTTTTTTCCCCAGGCCAATATCCTCAAGTGCTTTCTCCACACTGTCTTCTAGAATTTTTATTGTTTTGTGTTTTAAATTTAAATCTTTTATCCAGCAAGAATCAATTTTTGTAATGGTGAGAGACGTGGGTCCAGTTGCAATCTGGACATGCGACTAACCAGGTTTCCCAGCCCCATTTGTTAAATAGGGATGCTTTTCCCCAGTGCATGGTTTTGTTAGACTTATCAAAGATAAAATGGTGATATGTGGTTGCATTCATCTCTAGATTCTCTGTTCTATTACATAGAGCTAAGTCTCTATTTTTGTGCAAGTACCATGCTGTTTTGATCACTATAGCCTTATAGTATAGCCTGAAATATGGTAACGTGAAACCTCTAGATTTGTTTTTATTTCTAAGAATTGTATTGGCTATTTGGGTTTTTCTCTGGTTCTATATGAATCAAAGTATAATTTTTTCAAGTTCTTTAAAGTATGACATTGGTGCTGTGGGCAGAATGGACATTTTGGCAATGTTGATTCTTCCCAGCCACAAGTATGGCATGTCTTTCCATTTGCATAACAACATTTTCCATATTTGATTGTTCAGCATACGTCATATAGATTTTGAACAGTAATTTTTTTATTTTTAGTAGAATAGGTGGTCTTCCTAATGGCACTTTTGATCATACACTATTATCAGCTCTTTGAAAGAAAGAACTGTGTTGACCACATGTCAGCCCTTAACACGAGCCTGGCTTGTGGTAGGCGCTCAATAAATAATGGAGGAGTGAAAATCTAAGGTGCACCAAAGCAGTGTGTATATGAATCTGTGTGTGTAGATTAA